ATGGTGCTTACTAGTAGAACATAGTGCTACGTTATTTTCAGAATAAAGCTCGCACATAAGTTATCAATTCCAAATTGACTAATGCATTGATGGAAATAAATTCGTATATAAATATTAATCAATAAAAGAGAAGGACAAAAAGAAGGGAAACTAAAGAAATATTTGATAATCAACATCAAAATACCAAAGTTAGTGCAGAGTAAGCAACTTTGACCAACATCCCAACAAGCTTAAAATAAGTGTGAACACTCTTTTAAAAATCTGCTTGAAGATATCAGAGCTAACAAGATAGGCAATATAACACAATGAGGTTAAACAAGTGTCAGAGGCCATTTTTCCCCAAGGTCCCTGGAATTGTGGGAGAGTAGAAAGGATTAGCTGTACAGTTGACAACTTTTTCAGGATGCAGTACAGTGATTGGAGCCTAGCACATAATAAAAAATAACCAAAAACTCAAGGATGCAAGACAACCTGAATGAAACCCAATCAGAGAAAAAAAGGCAATGGAATGAGATCCATTGTGGTTCCAGATGTTGGAGAGTCTATATTTTAAAATAAATAGTTACTATTTTCAAGAAGATCACAAATAAAATTGATATTTTCATCGAAAAACTGGACAATCTAAAAATAATGAAAATTCCAGAAGTAAAAGCTACAATAAGTGAAATTAGAAAGATATGAAGCAGTTTAGCACCAGAATAAATACAGCTGAATGAAAAGGAAATAGGTGAACTGATAGATAGAGAAGAAGAAAAGATTCACAATAGACAATGGAGAAAATATTATAGAAAATATACACGAGAATAGGCAACTTAGAAGTCACAATGAAAGGCCTAAAGTGTATGCAATTTGTGTTTGAGGAAAAAATGGGATAGAAGTAATATTTGTAAAGATAATGGCTGACAGTTTGTCAACACTGAGGAAAGATATTGAACAACATATTTAAAAATAATATGAAGCCCAAGTAAGATAAATAAAAAGGAAAGTGTATGTAAGCATTTCAAGTAAAATGCTGACAACCAAAGAGAAAATATTAAAATCAGCTAGATAGGGGAGAAAAGGCAAATTACTTTCAAAAAAGCAACAATAAGATATATAGCTAATTTCTCAACAAACACAATGGAATTCAGAAGAAAATAGAGTCACAGCTTCAAAGTGCTGAAAGTAAATGACTGCTAGAATAAAATATCCTGCAAGAATGGAGATGAAAATCAAAACTAAAAGAATTTTTTCTTGAAGGCTCTCATTAAAAGTAAAATGTTGTGTTGTTTTCAGGTAGAAAGAAAATTATCCCAGATGGAAGCTCAGAAATACAAAAAATAATGAAGAGGAACAAAATATTAAGTATTTGGATGACTCTAATGAATATTGACTATCAGATGAAAATAACTGTGTTTTTTTTACTAAGATAGAGAAATATAAACTTCGCAACATCAATAGCATACGACAGGAAGGGTTACTTGCACTATCTGGGGAAGAACAAAAGTAACAATAAAATTGGGTTTGATAATTCAGGGTACATATCGTCATTTCTAATGCAACCACTAAAATAAAAATAGTAACAATGGGTAAAACTCCCAACTTAACATGCAAAGGAAATGTAATAAAAGAAAATAATAAATCCAAAATAAGACTAGAAAGAAAGAAAAGAGACTATCAAGCATGTATTCAAATAGAAAGCATTTAGTATAATTAAATTTTAAACCCAAATATATAATAAATCACAATAAATGTAAGAGAAAGGAATTTTTGGAATAAATGAAACAAAATGAAACTCTAAGTTGCTACAAGAAAGACATTTTAAATATAAGGAAATAAAGATTTACAAATAAAAGGATACAAAAAGATAAACCATGCAAGCACGAACAAGAAAAAATTTATTGTAGTCATACTAATAACTGATAAAATTTACTTTATGAGAAAAAAGCATTACCAGAGATAGAAACATTTGTAATAATAAAAGTTTCAAGTCATTAAGAAGACATAATTCAAAATTTCTATAATTTAATAATTTGCCTCAAAATACATAAAACCAAAATTGACAGAACTTTAAGAAGATTTAAGTATATTCATAATTATCATAGGATATTTTAACATACCTCTCTCTGTAATTAATTGAACAAGCAGGCAAAAAAATAGTGGAAATACAGAAGATTTGAGAAGCATGATTAATAGACCTGATTTAAATAACACTGTACTCAAAACTGCAGGATACACATTCTCATCAAGGGCATGAACATGGAGCATATGTGGACGCATAAAACAAATCTCAACAAATTTCGAAGGATTAAAATGAAACAAAATATGCTCTTTAATCACAATTCAAGCAAGAATTTTTAAAAAGATAGCTAGGAAACTATATACATTTGGCAATTAACAATATGTACTTCTAAATAAACCTTATATCAAAGAAGAAATTAAAATGAAAAGCAGAAAATATTTTTAGTTAATCAATATTAAAAACACAACCTGTCAAAACTTGTGGAATGTAATTAAAGCAATTCAGAGTGAAAATGCATCTACTAAAAGAGAATAAAATCATACAATCTAGTTATAGATCCATCTAAAGAGATGAGGAAATAGAGAAGTAAAATGGAGAACCTGACAAAAAATTTACAAAATATGAAAATTGCAGCCACTTTTATTCTTGCTTCATAGAATATTTGGAGTGCTTCTTTAAGTATTTAAAACAATTCACTAGTGAGGGGCCAGCCCCGTGGCCGAGTGATTAAGTTCGTGAGCTCCACTTGGGCAGCCCAGGGTTTTGCCAGTTTGAATTCTGGGCACAGACATGGCACTGCTCATCAGGCCATGCTGAGGAGGTGTCCCACATGCCACAACTAGAAGGACCCACAACTAAAAATGCACAGTTATGTACCTGGGGTGCTTTGGAGAGAAAAAGGAAAAATAAAATCTTTAAAAAATAATAATCATCATAATAATAGTTCATCAGTGAAACCATTTGGGCCTGGAGTTTTCTCTGTGAGATATTTGAATTACAAATTTAATTTATTTGATAGGTATAGAACTATTCATATTTTATATTTTTTCTTGAGTTAGTTTTGATAAATAATGTGATTTAAGGATGTGCCAATTTCATCTATGTTGTCTAATTTATTGGCATAAATGTTTTCATAATATTTCACCATTATCCCTTTAATGTCTACAGGATGAGTAGTGATATTGCCTCTTTCTTTGCTGATGTTTATTATTGAGGCTTTTTTACTTGATCAGACATTCTAGCTGTTTATCAATTTTGTTAATCTCTTAAAAGAACCAATTTAGTTTTCTCCATTGTTTTATTCTCTTTCATAAATATCTTGTTTATTAATATTATTATTATTTACAGTATTTCTTCTTTATTATCTTCTTAAGATTAAAACTTAGATCATTGATGTTAAACCTTTCCTCTTTAATGTAAGTGTTTGAGGTTATTAACTTTCCACTGCTTTTGCTGCATTCTACCTTTTGATATTGTGGGATTCCTTTTTTATTTTTTTTTGAGGAAGACTGGCCCAGAGCTGACATCTGTTGCCAATCCTCTCCTTTTTTTTTCCTCCGTAAAGCGCCAGCACATAGTTGTATATCCTAGTTGCAAGTCATTCTAGCTCTTAGATATGGGATGGTGCCACAGCATGACTTAACGAGCGGTGCGTAAGTCCGCGCCCAGGATCTGAACCAGTGAACACTGGACTGCCAAAGCAAAGTGTGCAAAATTAACCACTTGGCTGTGGGGCTGGCCCCTGATATTGCGTATTTTTAATTGCATGAATTTCAAAATATTTTTTCACTCTCTCCTGTGGTTTCTTTTTTGACCCATAGGTTATTTAGAATGTTTTTTAATTTCCAAATATTTGGAATTTTTCTAGCTGTCTTATCAGGATTTATTTATAATTAATTCTCTTGTGGTTAGAGAACATACTATAAAAGATTCGTTCTCCTGAAATTTGTTGACACATTTTTTGTCCTGTTATGTGATCTATCTTAACGAATGTTCTGTGTCCACTTGAAAAAAGTGTGTATTCTATTCTTATTAGGTATAGTATTCTAAAAATGTCAATTAGGTGAATATAGCGGATAATATTATTAAAATCTCATACATCCTTACTTAATTTTTGGCTACATGTTCTATCAATTACTGGGAAAGATGTTAAGAATTACCAAGTGTACTTCTGGATTTCCTCCTTTAGTTCTATTTTTGTTTTAGATATTTTGAAATTATTAGGTGCATACATGTTCGAGATTGCTACATCTCATGGATGAATGCAATCTTTATAATTATGAAATATTTCCTTTATTGGTAGCATTGCTCCTTTCCTTGAGTTTAGTTTAAATGATAGTAATAGAGCCACATCAGCTTCCTTATGCTTATTAGTCATATATCTTCCATCCTTTTACTTTCACCAATCTATGTTTTTGTATTATAGACTGAATGTTTGCATCCCCCTAAAATTCTATGTTGAACCCCTGACCCCCAGTATGACAGTATTTAAGTTTAGATGAGGTAATTAAGTTTAGATGAAGTCATGAGGGTGGGGTCCTAATGATAAGATTAGTGCCCTATAATAAAAGGAAGAAACATGAAAGCACTCTCTCTCTCTCCGTGAGCACACACTGAAGAAAGCCTATGCACACACACAGTATTTAAGCCACCAGGGTGTGGAATTTTGTTACAGCAGCCCAAACAAACTAAGATACTTTGTATTCAAACTACATCTTTTGTACATGGCACATACTGCATAAAATCTCAAACTACACTGAGATTGGTCAAAGTTTAATTTTTTAAAAAATAAGAAAGTTCCAGTTTTCTTTTACACCGCTTTTTAAGTGTTGGCATATACTACACAAACAGAAAAGTGCATTAAAAATATACTGTCCATTGAGGTGTCGAGTTGTGACCTGTAGCGACCGCAGTGTCCTAGGAAGGACTTGGGGGACCCAGGAGCCCTAGAAATGGTCACCTCCAAGTCCTGGCCACCGTGAATAATGCAGCAGTGAACATGGGGTGCACGTATCTTGATGCATTTGTCTTTTCAAGTTCCCGGGATAAACACCCAGCAGTGGACCAGCTGGCTCACCTGAGGACCGAAGAGCCTGTTTTCCAGTGTGTCCTCGCCTGAGCCACCCTCGTCTGTACTTGCTCCTTCTTGAAACTGAATCAGGGATTCCCTGTGCACACCTGCAACAAGTCGTCTTGCAGAAGCTGCGGGAAGAGCAGAGTCAGCCCAAAGTTAGCTTTCAATGCAAACGAGCGAGAAAGGACAGATTCCAGCCCGGCGGGTAAAGGTTCAGCATCGCGTGTCCAGTGCTTGAGTGCTTCCTGGTGGCTGTGCCACAGCTTCTCTCAGCGTCTTACCTGTACTTGTCGTGGGGGTCGTAGGAAGGACTCGGGGGACCCAGGAGCCCTAGAAATGGACTCAGTGGCCGTTGAGGACGTGGCTGTGAACTTCACCCCAGAGGAGTGGGCTTTACTGGATCCTTCACAGATGAGACTCTACAGAGATGTGACGTGGGAAACCTTCAGGCACCTGGCCTCAGTAGAAAGCATATGGTAGGGAGAGTCTGTGAAAGCAAAGAGGGTAGTCAGTGTGGAGAAAACGTCAGCCTTCTTCCAAATCTCAGTCTGAACAAGAAAACTACAGGAGCTAAACCATGGGGATGCAGTGCATGTGGAAGAGTCTTCACACATCATTCATTGCTTAAAACGCACATTAGATGTCACACTGAACATACAACATATGAGTATCAAAAATATGGAGGGAAGCCACATCAATGTAAGGAATGTGGGAAAGCCTTCACTTACCTCACTTTAGTTCAATCACGTGAAAGAACTCATACTGGAGAGAAACCCTATGAATGTAAACAACGCAGTAAAGCATTCACTTGTTCCAGTTATCTTCGAGTACATGAAAGAATTCATACGGGAGAGAAACCGTATGGATGTAAGAAGTGCAGTAAAGCATTCACTTCGTCCAGTTATCTTCAAATACATGAAAGAACTCATACTGGAGAGAAGCCCTTTAAATGTAAAATATGTGGTAAAGCCTTCATTTCTACCATTTGTCTCTCAAGGCATGGAAGAACTCACACTGGAGGGAAACCCTACAAATGTAAAAAATGCGGTAAAGCTTTCACTTGTTCCAGTTCTCTTCAAAGACATGGAAGAATTCATACTGGAGAGAAACCCTATGAATGTAAAATATGTGGTAAAGCCTTCATTTCTACCATTTGTCTCTCAAGGCATGGAAGAACTCACACTGGAGGGAAACCCTACAAATGTAAAAAATGCGGTAAAGCTTTCACTTGTTCCAGTTCTCTTCAAAGACATGGAAGAATTCATACTGGAGAGAAACCCTATGAATGTAAAAGATGCAGTAAAGCATTCAGTTCTTCCAGTTATCTTCGAATACATGAGAGAACTCACACTGGAGAGAAGCCCTTTAAATGTAAAATATGTGGTAAAGCCTTCATTTCTACCAATTGTCTCTCAACACATGGAAGAACTCACACAGGAGCAAAACCCTACAAGTGTGAAAAATGCAGTAAAGCATTCACTTCTTCCAGTTATGTTCGAGTACATGGAAGAATTCATACTGGAGAGAAACCCTATGAATGTAAAAGATGCAGTAAAGCATTCACTTTTTCCATGTCTCTTAGACTCCATGGAAGAACTCACACTGGAGAGAAACCCTTTGAATGTAAAATATGTGGCAAAGCCTTCGGTTATACTGCTTTCAAAACATGAAAGAAGTCACACAGCAGTGAAACCCCATGTATGTAAAATATGCAATAAAGTCTTCACTGCTTCCAGTTATCTTCAAATACATGAAAGAACTCACACTGGAGAGAAACCCTTTGAATGTAAACAGTGCAGTAAACATTCACGTTTTCCAAGTCTCTTGGAGTCCGTGAAAGAACTCACACTGGAGAGAAACCCTATGAATGTAAAATATGCAATAAAGTCTTCACTGCTTCCAGTTCTCTTCAGGTCCATGAAAGAAATCACAGTAGAGAGAAAACCTCATGAATGTCAGGAAAGTGAGACAGGCTTTACTTCTCGTGCAACCTTTTGATGATGTGCACACTAGAGGAAATACCACGTAGATATAAACAATTTGGGAAAGACTTTTGTCATCCCAGTTCTTCCTGAAGTCATGAAAGGACTCACTTGATAAAAACGTCTTGAATGTAAACAGCATGAGAAATTCTTCAATTGGCCTACATCCTTCTATGTGAAACTCCCACCAAAAAGAAATGAAAATCTAAGTCATGTGAAAAAGCTTCATGGAAATTAATTTGTATACGAGGTTGTGGAAAACTTTCAACATGACAGAGTTTTTATATAAGTAATAAATAGATTGTGTTTATCAAGCCTCTTTCCTAAAGTGCAACATTGGACTGTGGATTTCTATTAATTACTGCAGATACGAATATTGAGTTGAGATGATTCTGCTAGTCATCCTTCATAAATAGTAAATAAGATTCATAGGTAGTGCATTTCCCTGAAATCAGTTAATAATATTTTATCTTTAGTTTTTTTTAATAATGTTTTAATCATTCTGTGTTAGGGGGCTATTGAAAAGAGACAGTTTCTATTTGTTGTGATTTTCTTACTGGCCCTGTATTACACTTCCTGGATGAGCCTCATTCATTGTATATATTGTACATTTTCTAGAGAAAGTTCCCTTTGGTGGGTTGTGGGTTGAGGAGCCTGTTTTTATTTTCTGTACTATTAAACAGTTGGAAAAAAATATATATATATATATATATATACTGTCCATTGAACAACAAAAACTGATTGTTTAGAAGTGACATCAGCATCATGGCAGAGTGAGCTTGCCCAGGACTCTCTCCCCTCCAACATACAAAAAAAGAGCAACCATATTCCAACAGAAAATGCCCCAAGAGTACAGGAATCTGTGGAGAGTCACGGCAGCCACAAGACAGAGGGCGGAGAGGCTGGAACCCCTCTCAGAGGAGCTGGAATGGGGTAAGAGAGAACTTTGCTCCCTCCCAAAAAGACTGGGATCGCTGCCACAGGAGGCTCTGTGAGGGAAGAAGTGGGGGAGTGTCATGCATCTGCAGGATCACCCAGGACTCCCTAGGGCCCTTGCAGCCTAGAGGAAAGGCCTCTAACGGGGTGAAAGCTTTCACACAAGGTGACCTCATCAAGCCAAGACCCCAGGGGACCAGATAGTGAGAGCTGATTGGGAAACCAGGGACTACATGCAGGAGAAAGCGCACCCCTCACCACCATGCCGCACCGCTCCATCTTGGCTGAAGGCAGAGGGCACAGAATATGCAGCTCTTGACTCCCATCTATTGGTGATAGGCTGTAACTGCAACTGAATAATAGCACAATGGGAAAACCCCGCTCTTCCAGCATGAGGTAGTTCATCAAAACTTCAGACCAGAGAGAAAACAATAAATATGCATAATTCTGTCCTGAGGACTCAGAAACAAGTAAACCAAATGACAGTGAATTCAGAATAGCTATCGTCAAAAAACTCAATGAGGTAAAAGAGAATATAGAGAGACAATTTAAAGAGTTCAGGAGCTACCTCACAAAAGAGATTGAAACTATAAAAAGAATCAATCAGAAGTACTAGAGATGAGAGACACAATGGAAGAGATAAAACAAAATATGGATTCCCTGAATGCTCGTGTGGATACCATAGAAGAGCAAATCAGCATAATCTAAGATAGACATGTTGAATTGCTCCAGACAGAGGAGGAGAGAAAACTGAGACTAAAAAGAAATGAAGAAAGTCTCCGAGAAATATCCAACTCAATGAGGAAATGCAACATAAGAATTACAGGTATCCCAGAAGGTGAAGAGAAGGAGAATGGAGCAGAAAGCGTGCTCAAAGAAATAATAGCAGAGAACTTCCCAAATCTAGGGAATGAGAGGGAAATGTGTGTGGAGGAAGCTTTCAGATCTCCTAGATTTGTCAATGTAAAAAGACCTACTGCAAGGCAGATAGCAGTAAAACTGGCAAAAAGGAATGACAAAGAAAGAATACTCAGGGCAGCAAGCAGAAGAAAATAACCTACAAAGGAAGCCCTATCGGACTTTCAGCAGATTTCTTTGCAGAAACCTTACAAGCTAGGAATATGAATGACATATTCAAAACTTTAAAAGATGAAAATCTCCAGCCGAGAATACTCTATCCAGCAAAAATATCCTTCAGATACGAGGGAGAAATTAAATCTTTTCTAGACAAACAAAAGCTAAGGGACTTTATAGCCATGAGACCCCCCTCTACAAGAAATCCTCAAGAAGGCCCTCATACCGAAAAAAGAAAAAAAGAGAGAAAGGGGTCACAAAACACAGAGTAAGGAGACAGATAAAATCAGAATAAGATAGCAAATATTCAACTGTAACATTAGGCTAAAGGGAAGGAAAACAACAAAAACAAAGACAATCTTGTCACTTTAACCACAAACTCACAACACAAGTTGGAATAAGATATGAGAATAATAACTTAGGAGGGGAGGAGGAAAGGGGCTGAATCAGTTTGAACTAAGGAAATAAGAGGCCATCAGAAAATGGACTATGCTATGGACGAGATTCTGAATACAAACTTCAGGGTAGCCGCTAAACTAAAAAGCAAAACACAGACACAAAGAATACATAAGGAAAAACTAAGAAACACAGCATAAAAAACTGCAGAATGCGATGGGTAGAGCAAAACACACAGGATGAGAAATAAAGGAATTGCAGGAAAATCAGAAAACAAGTGATATAGTGACAGCATTAAGCCCTCATACATCAATAATCACCCTCAATGTAAATGGATTGAACTCTCCGACATTAAGACACAGAGTGGCAAGATGAATCAAACAACAATCTCCAACAATTTGTTGCCTCCAGGAAACACATCTCAGCTCCAATGACAAATACAGGCTCAGAATGAAGGGTTGGAAGACAATACTCCAAGCTAATGGCAAACAAAAGAAAGCAGGTGACACAATATTTATATCAGACAAAGTAGATTTCAAGATAAGACAGGTAAAGAGAGACCGAGAGGGGCAATATATAATGATCAAAGGGACACTACATTAAGAAGAAATAACGCTTATAAATATTTATGCACCCAACACAAGAGCACCAAAGTTCATAAAGCAACTATTAACAAACCTAAAAGAAGTTATCCAAAATAACACAGTAATAGTAGGGGACCTCCACACCCCACTCACATCATTGGACAGATCATCTAGACAGAAAATCAACAAGGAAACAGTGGAATTAAATGAAAAGCTAAAACAGTTGGACTTAATAGACATATATAGAACACTCCATCCAAAAACAGCAGAATGCACATTCTTCTCAAGTGCACATGGAACATTCTCAAGGATAAACCATATGTTGGGAAACAGGCAAGCCTCCATAAATTTTAAAAATTTGAAATAATAACAAGCATCTTCTCCAATCATAATGCGATAAAGCTAGAAATTAATTACAAGATAAAAGCCGAGAAAGGGACAAAGATGTGGAGACTAAACAATATGCTATTGAACAAGCAATGGATCATTGAAGAAATTAAAGAGGAAATCAAAAAATATCCGGAGACAAATGAAAATGATAACATGCCATACCAACTCATATGGGATACAGCAACAGCTGTATTAAGAGGGAAATTCATCACAATACAGGCACACCTTATCAAACAAGAAAAATTTCAAATAACCAATCTCAAATTACACCTTACTGAATTAGAAAAAGAAGAATAAACAAAGTCCAAAGTCAGCAGGAGAGAAATAATAAAAATCAGAGCAGAAATGCTATTGGGAAAAAAAGCCAGTAGAAAGGATCAATGAAACAAAGAGCTGGTTCTTTGAGAAGATAAATAAAATTGACAAACCCCTAGCCAGACTTACAAAGGAAAAAAGAGAGAAACCTCAAATAAACAAAATCAGAAATGAAAGCAGAGAAATAACAACAGACTCCACAGAAATTCAATGGATTATAAGATAATACTATGAAAAACTATACGCCAACAAAATGGATAACCTAGAGGAAATGGATAAATTCTTAAACTCCTACAACCTCCCGAAGCTGAAGAAGAAGCAGACAATCTGAAGAGACCAATCACAAGGAAAATGATTGAAACAGCAATCAAAAACATCCCAAAGAATAAAACCCCAGGACCAGATGGCTTTCCTGGAGAATTCTACCCAACTTTCAGAGAAGATTTAATACTTATCCTTTTCAAGCTATTCCAAACAATTAGGGAGGATGGAACTCTTCCTAACACATTCTATGAGGTCAACATCACTCTCATACCAAAGTCTGACAAGGACAGCACAAAAAAGGAGAACTACAGGCCAATATTGCTGATGAACATAGACGCAAAAATCCTCAACAAAATATTGGCAACTCTAATTCAGCAATTCATCCAAAGGATCATACATCACGATCAAGTGGGATTCATCCCAGGGACACAGGGATGGTTCAACATCCACAAATCAATCAACGTGATACACCACATCAACAATTGAGGAATAAAAACCACATGATGATCTCAATAGATGCAGAGAAAGCATTTGACAAGATCCAACATACGTTTATGATAAAAACTCTTAACAAAACGGGGATAGAAGGAAATTACCTCAACATAATAAAGGCAATATATGACAAACCCACAGCCAACACCATAATCGATAGGCAAAAACTGAGCACCATCCCCCTGAGAACAGTAATGAGACAAGGATACCCACTATCACCACTCTTATACAACATAG